GATTTGTTGCATAAAATATGTAAATATTATTAAGAGAAAGTGCCATATGATAGCTCATATTTGGATGGTTTCTGCTCACCTATCTTTTCTGCCGCCTCAGTCTCCTAGCTAAGGCTAGCATCAACAGGTAGCGTACGCATGTGCCATGCAGAGGCAGAGCTCCTGAGCAGGCATGTGTGGGGCTGCCCGAAGGAAACAGCACACCCACCTGCTTTTGATTTGCTGCAAACTTATCAGTACAATTTATTTTTACCATATTCTTGCCTACTCCTTATTTCCACTATCTGCATTTCTTGGAGCAAGCATCTTTCAAGTAAAATTGCCATTTGAATGATAAGATCAAAAATCCCAAAAGATCAGTAATCAGCAATCATGTCAAAGCAGCTATGCTTGAAATTTCTACCGTAAGTGAAAAAGTTAATGATAAAAATTCACGTTTAGAAAAAAAGGAAGAAAATTACATGAAAAGCACTTGTTAAACAAGCATTTATTTTCAGTTTTTCAAAAAAAGTTTCATTTTTCATAAACAAAAAATTTACCTATAATTGTGTGTGTGTGTGAGAGAGAGAGAGAGTTAATTGAAGATGGAATCATTTTTGGACTTGTAGAAGTACCCCAAATAATTTCTAAATTCAACTGATTTTAATGAAACATTAAGCCCTTATATGCCCGCAAAGAAAAAAACAATTATAGTAAGATTTTTTTTTTTAATTGAAGGAAAAAAAATTGCATTGCCTCCTGTGCCATTTGTTTATTCCGGCTTGTTAATGACTCAAGATAAAAAAGTAGATATGCTGATTAATCAAGTCTTATCGATCAGTAGCATATGTCAGTATTTCACACAAATATCTACAGAACAATTTCTCCCAATCAAAAATTTATAAATCAATTTAAATTCCTGGTAATTAAATTTATTAGCCCCACAACAATAAATGTGGTACTTTATAAAAGTAGTATGTGAAATTTGTACTCAAGAATATATTGATCAAAGGCAAAACAGCAAACATTTCTATAAACCAAGGTTCTAAGAACAAACTGGAAAGTAGAAATCATAAAAGCCTGCAATTGTTTCAAATACACCTAGCAATTCTGCTGATTTCGGACCATTAAAACTGATTACTTAATTAGGCAATCATTCAAGGCATCTAAACATTCACAGACAAAAACAGGGAGTCATTAGCAGAGCCGTCTTCACCTTGAGATGAAAATTCTGAACAATGTTGCAGACACGTAAACTTTCGGGATCTGTCCCCATGCATGAACTAAGCAAAATACTAAAATCTAAAAGGTAACCACCAAAGCTAAGGAAAAAAATAATCTGCCTGTAGTGATATCACTACTTTGTCTTTCCAAGTAGCTAATACTTTAAACAATCTGAGAAATGCCAAGTTATAATACAGATATTCTCTGTCAATTCTTGGAAGTACTACTTTTCTCCCCTCTGGTCATACTCTTATACTATCTAAAAGTAATTAATAAAATTTCTGCTCTGTTGTATGTCTATCAGAAGTACCTGCCTACAAACAGGTTTTCAAAGTTCCTACCTAACATGAATAAAAACCACAAAAAGATTTTCTATTTATGGAAAAAAAAAAATACCCACAACCGAGTACTAGAACCTCAGCCACTGGAGTCTTTAATGTAACTAAAGAAAAACAAAATAATAATCTCTATGTTTTCACTCAGAAGATACCAGAGATAATTTCAAGAATATCATTGATTTGGTACAGTCAGGAGAAAGAAAAATATTCTCTGCCCTCCCTCCCCCAAAAAATGGTTCCTGAAATAATTCTAAAGAGACCCTATAAACTGTCTTTTTTAAGAGAAGAGAAAAAGGAAGTCAACTCACACACACAGCTTCCAAACAGAAGTCTTACTCTCTTCCAGGAAAACAACAATGGGACTTTATTACCCTGCTATGATTCTTTCATTTCGGACATGATTAATTAGCAAGTATTACACTTCCCAAACTCCCACCACACTCTTCGTGGTCTATCAGCCTAGTTGTTGAGAGATCTATATGAAAGAGCAAGCAGCCAACAGCAGTATAAGACAAGTATCCAAAAACTATTTCAAAGGAACACTTCTCTCCTATCTTTGCCTCCCAAAATGAAGCAGGCTGCTTTTAACTGCTTTCACAAAAAAATTTTCTTAATTGGTCATTTTCTTAACAATACCTTTTAAAATTTGAATAATGCATGCAACATATTCAGTATTCAAGAATACATGGCATGTAATTTATTTGTTACCTACCTATATTTTCAGGCTGGAATTCCAAACGACTTGAGTGAGTCCATGTAGTTTACCCTGATAACTATCCACATGCACAATTAATAAACAATAAAGATGATGTGAGCAAGCATGTTTTGGGAAATGGTTTTTATAGAAAAAAAATGTTTCTTTCCCAAAGAAAAGCTAATATGTCACACATTTAATGATGAGAGGAAACAGCAGTAAAGAACTAAAAGAGAGGATGAAAGGAAGAGGGCAACTCTAAAATTTGAATGAATGAAAACTCTGATTCTCTGCATATTGTTCCAAAACACCCTCTCAAAATAATTTACCCTTTTAAAACGATCTATTTTCAAAATGTCCATGTGAACCAAGAAGCCAGCTATAACTGAATGTACTATAAATACATATTTAACAACCATCAGTTTATAAAGGTTAGGGTTTCCCCCTTCAACCTCCCAACTCTTCTGTCCAAAAAAACTTCACACATAGTACAGTACTAATAAATAGATCTTGTTGGTTCCAGGAAACATTTTTTTAAATCTATTCTGGCATAATATCCTTGCTTTTTTTCTGTTGTATTAAATTTAGGATCAAAAACATCAAAGCAGCTTCCACCTCGGACCTAACTTTTAGAGAATCAATGTGACAAGGCAGTCCCTGATAGATGTTTCTCTTGATAAACGACTTGTTCAAAAGAGACATTGTAGCTTTCATTTCCTGACCACAACACACTTTTAATTTGCAACAGCAGAGCTGCCAGAGTGAGAGCACTTGCCCACTTTCCAGCCTTTTAGGTTTGTAGCTCTGGTTCCTTTAGGCCACACGTTTGAGACAAACAAAATCTAAAAATAATCAGAGTGATAGAATTACAAAATAGGAACCACTAATGCCACTTTATACATATACCCGTGTCTACTTTATATATATATACATATATATGTGTGTGTGCGTGTGTGTGTATAAACTTTTCCTCCCCAGAATTCTAGTGTGTGATAAGGCTCCTGAGTGACCATCAATTGCACAACAAGCATTTAAACACAGAGAAGTAAATTACGTGACTATTATTTAATAGTAAGCAGAGACAGGGGAGGGGGGCAATTTACACACTTAAATCTGCTGTTAAATGTCATGAATTATATGATTGTCTACCCCAACGTGTTTTTTACATATTATTGCAATGATTATTATTACTACTACTCAGAAATCACATTTAAGTATCAATACGGTGAACAGTCAAACCATCCAATTTCTGCTCTCAGCACATTGTCCGAGCTCCGATTTAAAATTTATAAATGTAATATCCTCCTCATCACAGGCAGCAGCCCAATCTGCTCTGAATATATATTACAGCTTTAACATCACAGAGGGAAATCGCCCATCTGGCAATCCCATTCGCTCCAACAGCTCCGGGGGAAAAAAAGCTGTGCTCTCTCCTCCTTAAAACATTTCTCAGGGCAAATTATGTGCATCTAAAATAAACAGTCTTCTTATTGATCGCTTCAAAGTCAACAAGTTCCAAATGCAAAATTCAAATCCTTTTCTATCGTGTGAGAACAGTGTGTGTTTAGCTCAATAGTCACCAGAGTCCAACCAGAAGTGGATGTCGCGCAACGGCTCCGGTAGTGCCTTTCCCTGTATTCACATTTGTGTTATGAGAGCAGTAACCACGGCCACATTACAGACCCCTGGCAGCTCTCCCCACTGCTATTTCTTTCTTTCATATTCTCCCTTTCCTTCTCTCTCTTTTCAGGGTCAATGCATGGTGGTGGGGTAAAGGTAACCAAAAAAAAAAACAAAACAAAAAAACACACCACACACAAACAACAACAAAAACCCAAACCAGTATAAAGTGGACATATCCTGTGGTTATGTAAAATACTTTTAACATCTTTTTGTTGTTGTTCCCTCTTAGTCTTAATTGAATATCACAAAGTGTACAAATGGTACGGTCACAAGAGCTATTGAAAACCCCCTCACTCTATTTATCTGACCTTTTTTTTTTTTGTGAAGAAAGAGGAAAGAGCGATTTCAAACAAAGTCAATTTCAGTGCTTGATTATTTAATTCTGTCACAGGTTAAAAGTAAAAAGCGCTGACAGGCAGACAAGTGAATGGCAAGGGAAAAAAAAAACAAAACTACCACTGTTCCTTAAAAGGCATTAAGGACTTAAAGCAATTAAAATATATATATATATTTTATTTTTATGTAAAAGTACCCCTTCACTCACTCACCCAAAAAAACCACACTCAGAGGAACTGATTACTCCACAAAGTGTAATCATCCAGAGAGCAGATAGTCAAGTTGCATTAATAGGTTGAGAAAAAAAAAATGCATCCAGTTTTGTGTGTGTACATATATATTTATATACTTTCATTAGTAAGCAGTCTTTGCCCACACTCCCGCCCTCTCCCCTCTCCACCCAGCCTCCTCCCCAAAAAACCCCACACTGAGTTTAACTAATTTACATACCATTTGACTTCAGCGGTTATATAGTGCATTACTAGTAACATGAAACTTTGGGATTACCGCTAAAACCGATAAAAGTGGACTCCAGTAATCTATTAATCAAAACTGAAATATAAACAAGTGATAGCAAAAGCAAACAAGCATTTTGACAGATTAAAAAATATATATATATATATTTAAAGGAATTATATATCATGAGTATCTGCTTCCCAAGGAGAGTCTTCAATGGTTTTTATCATGCTATGTAATTTGTCTTTCCTATTTAGATGCAAAGGAAGTAAATTCCAAAACTGACATACCATAAACACTGGTGCTACTGATCATTTCTTGCTGGCAGCACAAAAAGCTGAATTGGATTTCTCACAAGCAGGAATTCCAAAGGTTGCTTTTCATTAAAGCCACTTTCCTCTCAGCTATCAAATGTCACTGCCTTGAAACGTGGGCCCTTTCGTCAGGTATTCATTTAACCTACATGCATATAATTAAGGGGGAAAGCAACATCAACAAAAAGGGGATCTCAGATCACAGGAGAAGAAAGAAAGGAAAAAAAGCACATGACCAGGAATGCAAGTCCATGTCAATTTCACTCACTCCCATTGAAACTAACAAGAGCTCCGGGGAGGACGGTAATAGGATCAGTGGATTGTATATACCATTAAATTATACATCTTTCTCTCCCGTTCCTTGCCAACAATACGCCCACCACGCTGTACCCCCTCCAAGATGATGTGCTTACATTTTTCTGCAACCGATCTTCTGACATTTTCACGTTCCCCCAGCCACGAGACTGTAATTTAACCTCAACTTTTTGTGTGTGCAAGATTCTTATTTACACTTCTTATTTACTTAGAAGTTAGTTCCCGAAGAAAGTCTAGCCCCACCCTATGGCTCCGCTTTCTTATTTTTTATTTTTGAAGTAAAAAGATAGTAGTAAGCCCAATATAGCGCAAAACGAGATTCTTGCTATCGCGAACTCTTAATCCAATACTATTGTTACAATGATTAAGCAGCAAAAATATGCATTATAATGTTTCAGGGCTACTTTGTACAGAGAAATTAGACAGCAGGTTGGCGTATAGAATAGAAGCGAATGCAAATTAAATTTAATGTTTACGGCACAACTCGAAGATCTCTTTTTATTACGGGTCTTGGATTTATTTATAGTCTCAAAAAATAAAACAAACAAAAACAAAAACAAATTTAAACAGATGGTAGGAAACTACGAAGCTCCTCTTACCTGAACGCTCGGAGCGAAAACCCGATAGGTTAGCGTAGCATCGATCCGATGTGTTTGCTGATGAATGGAAGCTAGGGTTAAGTGAAGGTGCCTATGATTTGAAATCATTCCAAGTTTTTGAAGGGAAGACGGACTGCAGCCTCTGCCATGTTGGAATTTCAAACCCAAAACAGCTGCTTGGAAGGAGCCAGCATGCCAGAGGCTGGGCGCAGGCGCAGAGAGCCGCCGAGCCAAATTCAAATCACTTTCACACTAAGAGCCAAAGATCAGTTTTCAAAGGAGAGAGGGAGAAAGAGACCGAGGCTGCCGAGAGGGAGAGAAGACGAGAGGCAGTGGCGAGAGGCGGGCAGTGGAGAGAGACGGGCAGCGGGAGGACCGGGAGGGAGAGGGAGAGGCGCACCGAGCCAGCGGAGCTGGAGGGGGAGAAAGGGAGGCGGGAGGCGAGCGGGCGAGCGAGCGAGAGACGCGCCAGAGATTCATGGGCAGGGAGGGCTCAATGGCCGCGCCGCGCTGGCCGGCCAGCCGCTCGGGTCATGTTACACGGCCGGGGCCGCGGCGGCCGCCCAGCCTCCCCGACGCGCTCACGCGGCCCGGAGGGGGCCCCGAGGTCATGATTACGCGCGCGGGGATCCGGAGCTTTCCCTGCCCGCGCTCTCGGGTGGCCCAGCCTGGGGAAAGGGGAGCAATGCCTTGGGGTGGGGGGGGAGGGAAGGGGCCTTTCTTTCCCACGCGTGACCAGCCGGCCCTTGCGCGCCCCAGACAGCCTGGGAGGGCCCGGGACAGGGCTGCGCGGCTCTCGCGCCCGCGGGCCCCTCCCTGCCAGCTCCTGGCCCTCTCGACAGCTGCGGCCAGTCCACCCTTCCCCACCCCCCAGGACTCCGCACACAGGACAGGATCTGGCCCGGAGAAGCCGGGACCTCACCCGCACTCTCCCCTGGGCCCCCAGCACCAGCCAGAAAATGACTTTATCTGTTAAGAAGAGGCAACTTCGGGGGGGGGGGGAGGAGAATCCGAATTAAGCCGGTTCCCCTCCCCCGCCTCCTTGTGAATAAATAAAATCATAAGTGTCTAGGTGTGCGGTCCACTCTCGCGCTTCCCTGGTTCCCCTCCCTACCTCCCCCAGGCGGCTCGGGCAGGGGAAAGCAGCGCCTGGGGGCCCCCGGTGCAGGCTGCTGGTGCGCGAGCATAGACGTTAGACTCCTGCTTTCCCAACCCCCTTCTTGGAGCAAGCTGGGGACCCAGGAGTGGGAAGAGAGTAGGGGCTTTGTGGTGCTGGGAGCTGAGGAAGAATGAAATGTGCAGTTGAGTGTGTTGCTCGCATCCCAGGGAGCAATGCAGTGCTGATTGTCTGTTGCTGAGATAGCCTTTTGTTCGGAACATAAGGTTTAAGAAACACACACACGTTTTCTGGGGTCTCTTGTTAGATGTAAATGTGCTGCATCCAGACGCTTACTATGCAGTGTAAGCTCAGTTGGTTTACTAATCACCCCGCCCCACCCCCAAACAACCAGGATCATTTGAATGAGAACCTCATTCAGACTTCTAGGCTGTGAGGATTGCCTTCAACCTATTTCATTCTAGACTAGCCAACCATCCAACTGAGATAATAAAGCAAACAATAACATTTGATCATGATGTCTACGAGATAATGTGCCCGGCAAAGTTCTTTAGGAATTGTAATGAGCAAGAGAGTGAGCGAGGTAATAATTTCTCTTCGTTTTCATTAAATATGACTTTAATAGATAAATGGTAAGTTTATACTTTGGCCTGGTGGACATCCAGTCCTCTCCATTGCAACTAAGCTAAGAATGAAAGAGGCAAATTATATATTCGACCAGGAGCCCATGAAGCTGAGAATGTTACCTTTGAAGGTTGGCAACGAAAATAGACTTGTTTAGGACTGACCCTCCTCATAACGGGTGTTCACATTTCCCCCTGCTTCTCTGCTATAAATTTAATAGACTAAATTGCAGCTCTCCAGATGATGAAATGCAGCTTTAAAAAGATACAACATATATACTTTGAAATTAATTTCATTCTCCTTTGTGATTTTCTTACCTGTGAATGGATAGCCATTGAATGGATGCATTTAGCTAACCCAAGGAGAAAGAAAAATTATTTTAGTTAAATCTAGGCAAATGACAGAATTTAAAAGACAAAAGGAAGTGATTCAAGATCTTACCAAATATTTCTAAAGAATGAGATTTCTATTTGGAATGGATTTGACCTTTCTGTGCATTTTTTTAAACCAGGCTTCAAAATAAAACAGAAGAACTTTATTCTGATGTAACAGAGAACACTGGAGCCCCTTTAGTTATGTTTTACAAAATAGCTTTGAAAACGATATTATGAAAAGTCGCCCATTGGATTTCACCACAAAGAAATAAGTGTAGAAAAATATCTATGGGTCACTGTTGGATTGAGTACAGATGAATTAAAAAACAACTGTGAAGAACTTATAATTTCAGTTATTGCCCATTTGGAGAATGACGACGAGAAGTCCTCTGGACACACAGCAGATGCTCTGTACGATTCAAGCAAAACTGCTCTGTCCTTGTTTGTTAAAAAAAGTTCAAAGCTCATCAACCTTTAACACTAAATTCCTCATATTGAATTTACAGTTCCTTATGTAAACCAAAATGCCAAATAAAATATATAGGATAGAACATCCACTGAGTAAAAAATATATATATGTATATTATAAATATATATTTTCATCCTCAACTTAAATTCATTTTCAATATCTAAAACAAAATAAGCTCTACTTTTAAAAAAGGGCAAGAAAAAATGTGGTTAGCAGGAGTTTATTAATAGATAAGTAGTACTTTTTTCAACTCCTTTGTATATTCATTTGAAATACGGATTATAAAATTTGTCATTCAACATACAAATGAATATAATTAACTTTGGAATCAAAGAAAAGCAAACTATTCAAAAGAGCACTGCATGTATTTACACAGCATTTCAAAATTGTCCAAAATTGCATATACTCCAGAAAAAAATGTTTACGTAAAAAATATATATTATGGGATTTGCATGACTAATAAGATCCATTATAGAGTGTGTCACCCCACTATTTCTAGCTTTTTTTTTTTAAGGTATGGTTAAGGTATGGATAAAGTATGCTTCTCTCCAATTACTTTTTTTGCAAAGGAAGATGGAACTTTTTTTTCAAAAAGATGCATTATTTGTAAAATTAGCACAATGTTTACGGTTTTTGTTGTTTTAATAAAACTATCTTTAATGATGTTGTATGATTAACATTTTAATAGACACTATATCCTATCCATATAAAACTTTTATTCAAAAGAAATGTTTCTGGTTGTAACTGACATCCATCTCTACAATGTAATTTATGAAACTTGTGACGACATGAAGATAAGAAATTGAGTCTTTAAAGAAAGTGGACTGGCTAATCAAGAAAACAGTTCATTCAGTGAAAACCTGATCAAATTCATTTATTTCCCACTGCAGTAAGCGCATTGCTTCTTTCTTTTTTTAATTTTAATTTCTTTTTAACGTAGAAAGGACAAATATAATGAATTTCTAACACACAGCATAGTCTGACTCGGGCTTTGTAAGAAAACTAAAGAAAAAAAATAAACATCACTATTCTTTTTTTCCTCCGGGAGAAGTGTGTGTGTGTGTGTGTGTGTGTGTGTGTGTGTGTGTGTAGGCGCACACGCACATGTTCCTCTCAAGCTAATTCAGGGAGGAAAGATTCTTCTACTTTTGTGTTCTTAAGTCTCAGGACACATACAAGCAACAACAATCAAAGTAAAGTGTAAAGAAATAAGCAAGGTGATATTGAATGAGACTGTGCAGATGACCATATTCTTGTCTTCCTGGACTAAGGGTAATTTGGCCCAGGTTGGACACAAAGATGGATACCTAGGTGATGGAAGAAGAAAAGGGAAGATAAGGGTGGACAGGGCACTGAAAAGATGAGAAGATGCAGGTGACAAAAACAAGTTTGGGGGGCTGTAATATTGAGTTTTTCATGAAATGCTAAACACAATTCAACTTAATTTATAAATTCTGCTGTTTAGTTTCAAAGTCAATTATTTTCATACATCAAATTAGTAATATCCTCTTCCAAACTGTCATATTTCCAAAATATTCCAGGACTTACTAGCTGTTTCTTAGACCTACACTTGTTTTTCACATTGCTCACAAAATCTAAAGTAACTCTTACAATAATTACAATTACTGGTATGATTTTTTTTTATGTTTGCATAAAATTGCAGTTTATTTTAAGGATCTTCATTTGTACTTCAATTAAACTAAGAATACTAAAAAATTCTTATGTCCCTTCCACCCCCCCAAAAAAACAGTAAAGACCTTGACCTCCTTTTAGTAAAATTACTCAATTTGTTAGAATTAGACTTGAATACAGATACTGTCAAAGGGTATTAGGGTGGTCCGTATATCTCCTCAGCGACCTAACCCTACGGTGGAGAGACAACTGGAAAATCCCGTGAGAGGTTCACTTGAGATGTTTTCTTGGTTATGCAAAAGTGTATTCTTCTAATAACCTGAGGATTGCACATTTTCATTCACTCTTGAACTAGTGGTAGTGTTCACATATTTGCTGCAGCTTCTGCCTGATTCTGTATGATTCTCAGTTTCATTAAGAAAGTACACTTAGTACCACACTTACTGTGGTTAAAAGTATTGCACTAAAAATTGCAGAAGATTTAAAGGAAACTTGATATTAATGTTTTATGGATAAAGCCAGATAAATATAGTTCAAAGTGAGTAAGTGACTCATAAGGGGGTCTGTCTAGAGGAAGATACGGGTTCTTTCATGAAGGAGAGGCCCGTTTTCCTGGTCTTTGTAGTCTCAATCTTTAAGCTCCAATACAACAAACCGCTTGTAGTCTGCAGTCTGCATTTGCCATGTTGTCTGTCCCCTCTGTGCCTTGCTTTTCACTGGGCCCTCTGGTTTCCCCTCCTCTTCGGTGGGCTAACTCCCTCAGACTCTCAGCACTTAACTCCCCCAAGAAGACTTCCCAGCCTTCCGGGGTTGGGGGAGGGGGAGCACTTCAGCATCTTTCACCTGGGCTCTCCTCAGACTATCTCTCTCTCTCTCTCCCGCTCTCTCTCTCTCTCTCTGCTCTTTAACATCATGTTTTAAGTATCTTTCTGTTTGAGCCCTCGGTCAGTTTGT